AAGTCGAGGGGTCATGACGTCATTGGCAGGCGACACAATGACACTATGTCCACGCTCCGTGCCACTAGTTAAAATAGCTTATTTCTCTGGATTTAAACATTCTTCGAAACATTTGGAATAATGTAAGTACACAAGTCAGCAAAATATATAACACTGTTCTAGTGGTTTTTGGATATTTTAATAAAACAATCTTACATATTGTGCCTTTAACCATTAAAAGTCTAGAAAAATTAAAACAGAAAAATAAAACGAATAAAAAAAAAAATGTAACTGATTTCATAGGGTCCTACTAAACGAATAGTGCTCATAAATGACTTCTGAGAAAGTATTCTCACTTAAAATGGAGTAGAGGCTTGGACCCAGAAACCGTATAGCTACATCACACAATCATATCAGTTTGATTAGCTAATTCTGGTTTTGATGTCAGATATTTTTTGTACAACCATAAATGATGTCATTTACAATTTCAGTTGTCATTTTTAATGATCAACCGTCTCATTTGGTACCTTGTGCATCTTTTAACTAGATAGGGGAGACTGGCAAAGGGACCGTAAGTACAGCTACCCAGGTAACAGCAATCAGCCCTGGCAAGGGGATCGGTATCACCCGTATGACTCTCACAGGTACAAGGATCATCATTACGGTGACCGCCGTCCTCATGGTGACTACCGCAGCTCAGGAGGTTACCGTAACAGCGGCTCTCCTCGCAAACGACCCTATGATTATGGTAATGATAGAGATCATCGTGGCCATCGAGACTATTATGACAGGTGAGCAAGAGTGGCTTTTTATTAAATCTGTTAACGTTTACAACCCATCCTCATGCCCAAATCTGTGTAGAGCTGTAGGACTAAAATTTAGCTTTTTGTTTTCAGACATCCAGACCCTAAGAGAAGGCGTTCCGATGAATACCGCTCCCCGAACTATCACCCGGGTGGAGGAGGGCATCCACAGGACTTCAGAAGGATGCCGGACCACAGGGGACCCCCTGGAAACCATGGCCCCATGGGGCCCGATCACTACCGCCCCTTCCACCCTGACAAACCCCCACCCCTGATTGACCCCCGTTCCCCTCAGTCTCAGAAATCCCCCCTTGAGCCCATCTCACCTGCTATGGAAAGAACTGCAGAGCAGAAACCTGTGACGGACTTTAATTGGAACAACAGGAAGACGTGAGGTGAATACTTGGTTAGTGCAGAGGACGGTCTGTACTGCCAAAGGACGTGGCAGAAAAGCCACCTAGGCAATAAATGGAGCCTCCACCAAACTCCTCTTTATCGCCACTGTGTCCTCCGCTCTCTTCTAGGATTCACAACCAGGTTAAGTCTGCCATTTTGGACTGAGGAGACAGAACAAAGCGTGGTTAGTCCTATGGACTATGATTGAACTTGATAAAGTGTTCAAGTATGCCTAAGTAAGAAAGTGCCTCATGTATTTAGTTTTTGTTAAGAGTCATTAGCAGAAAGGGACAGTCCCCAAAGCAAACTTTTCTTTGATGTTCATGTCTTTTTGTTTCGTGTTATTTTGGTTTGTGCAAAAAAGGATTATTTCATGAAAGTAGCCTTTGTGGGAGGAGAAAAAAGGAATCCTTTTAATTGCACCTTCAGATGTTGATTCATATTTTTGTTGAGCTATTCGAAACTGTCGCTTTTGCTTTCTGAAATGCCCAGACCCTGTGATCTTACGTCATTTTGAGGAAAGAAAATCAAGTAATTACATGTACATTTTTGTCTTTTGTCTTATGTGATGAGCAACGACCGCAAAATTACTGGAATTGTTTTTCTTGAATTATCGAATCTGCGTCTTCGCTATAATGCATACCCGCCACTTGTTAATATTGCCCTGTTGGAGGACAGTAGCCTTGTTTAAAAAAACAAAGAAGGAAAAAAAGGCTAAACAGTATTCAGGGTCCATGTAGACCTGGTCAGAACACTAGATAATCATAACACATAAGCTATCTTTGTTTTTATTTTCTTAAATCTGTAACACTTGGCACCACTTAAGTCCACTTTATGGTCAGTGCTTGTACTGTTGCATCTTTTTATTGCACTAAAAGGACAGTACTTGCTCGATTTTGAGTATGTAGTAATGGTAGACATTATCCGAATCTGATTTTCAAGTTTCGTTGAGTTGTTTTCTCAGAATGAGTGTGCTGAAACGCTGATACCGTTGACCTTTAAGTGGAAATGTGAGTACTGTATAAATGGACAGATGCTTGTTTCAGGAGTGGGCGGGTGTCACAAGCTATTTTTGGTGAACCAGATTTTGTGCCAAAACGTTGACAGACTGGCATGCTGGTAGATACTGTTCATTGATTGATTGTTTATTTGATGTGATTTTCCATCTGTGCCTTATTCTTGTGTAGATTCAAACACCGGATTGGTATAAGGATGTTAAGCGGTCGGAAATGATGCAGTATTATGCTGTTGTGTACAATTTCAAAACATTTGCCAGGATGGAATTTTAACTGGGTGCATGTAAAGCCAGCTCTGGTGAGTGGGGAACAATGTGGTGTGCTCAATTCCAAAAGATCATGGTGGCAGGACTAGGAGAGCGGTGAGCTGGTGAAATGTGGACATGTCTGCAATGGAATACTGAAGATGTGTTACTTCTTTCCCACCCAAGCTCCTGCTCACACTCCACGGACATGTTAAGCTTTGAAACAAGCCAATTTAAAGTAATTTATATTTGTGAAAAGCCACTGTTCAGATTAATTGTACTGTACATATGTTTATAGATCTATGTGTATTAAACTTTCCTACATCATGGACAATCTGTTTTTGTTCTTCAGTGATAATTAAAACTAATTGCGGTTTTTATAGTTTTATGCAACCTATGTCAACTGCAGTCTTCGTGCAGTTTCAACTAGTTGACCAACTTGGGATTTATTTCCATTATTTTAATGTGATATTTAGGAAAAATCCCCTAAATTATCTTAAGTCACACTGTCATGATCTCCTGATGGCAAAGACAAAAGGGCTTTCTGTCAGTCTTTGAACGTGGCAGGATTGTTCAGCCGCACAAGCTGCCGAGGTTGGACGCAGTAAGACAGTCATTCTAAATTTCTTAAAAGATCCTAAGTTATGGGACAAAAAAGTCAAGTGGTAGACCTAAAAAAATCACCAACACTGCGCCGGAGGATCCGACGGGCTGTCTAGTGATGTGACATTTGAACCGAGGTATTGGAGCTTGTGTCGAAAATAAAGGGGCGTGTCAGAGGAAGCCTCGATTCGAAGCTTGTGTTGTTAACATAGAAATCACGTGACCAATGACAAACGAAGCTTCGCTTTCTGTCCAGTCACGTGCGCGATTCACTTTGCGGGTCGGAATGTTCGAATCCCCAGATCTTACTTTACGAGCAAGTTATAATTCGGATTTATTCAGTTACATGTTAGATACCCATACAAGTAATATGAAGAATACAAATTAAATATTTGTCGCAATTAATATGTGTACATTCTATTACATCATATTGATATTCGTACTGGTATTAAATTGCAGTTTAATGGGTAAATGAATTTTTGTGCACGTAACTTGAATCGATCTGTGGAATATGTGGTAGATGCCTCGTCCTACGGAGCGTCTTTCACAGGGTTTTGGCTGCTATATTTTTTATTCGAGACACTCAAAACTTTGAATTTTTTCCCGAAACAGAGGAAAGCCTCAGTGCTTCACGAGGTTTAATTTGCCCATCACTAGGGCTGTCCGTGAAGACACAGGCCGATCCTCGACTCAAATTAAGGCCCTTACTGATACTGACTGCAGCCATAAGACGGCATCTTCTTCATCTTCTTGTAACGTTTATTGGCGGTGGGCAAGCCAACTTTTGGTGCATTACCGCCACCAACTGAACTGGAGTGTGGAGTGACAATGAAAAGGATAAAAAAAAAAATCTTATGTTCTCATGAAGTTTCCCGTGTCTCTTAACTAATTTTTCTGAATTCTCCATTACCTAATATTAGTTCTAATGTCATATTATTTGCACCTTCTGTCTGTATCTTTGTCTTTTAGTACTGCTGGATAGACTTGGATGATCATTTTTAAAATATTTGTAAAGTAAGTCACGTAAAGATTGCTTCCAGTTTATGATGTTATACTATCAACCAGGTGAGGTCGCTATTTCCAGCCACTCCCCGTATTAATTTCAACGTAGTAGGACGTGCACTCTAAACATTCACTAACATTAGCAAATAATAAATGAAAAACTGACCATGAAAACGATATAATTCGATAATATTTTTCAGTCAAGATGGTAAACGGAATAGCTTTTTAACAAGTTCAAGGGAATACCTGGATTGTTTGGAAATCTTAAATTGCCATCACACCACTGCTCACAAACAACGGGGACGCCAGAGTTGCACTTGCCTCAAATTTCAAAGGTAAAGTGCATAGTAAACAAAACCTTTTTGCCAAATTTATGACAGAAATGTTTGCATTGAACTATGTTCTTAGGGTTTCTGCGGGTCCTTAAAACGTCTATAGTTTATTTGTTTAAATTTAAGGCCATGAAAACTCTTAAATGGTACAACAAGTCTTAAGTATAAGAGGTCTTAAATTTGGGGACGGAAAGACAAGAATTGCTATATAGATTAATATGAAGATTAAACTGATTTCACTGAATAAACGTGAGCACTGCACGTTTCAAAGTCAGGCGCTGCTGCTTTGTGTACTGCGATTACCGGGGAAACCGCTATATTCTGCCGCTTGGAAAGTGAACCCTGCTGGCAGGGAACGAATTTGCTTTTTCAATAAGCCAGTATGCTATTTTTGCTACATATTTTTAAATTTATTATATGATGCGATCAAACTTATAGCAAAATTTGGTAGTTCTGTATGTTGTTTCGGGGTTGGCATCATGAGGTCCTCTGAGGGGTTGGCATCATCTCTTCTCAGGTGTTCTGGATCCAAATTTAGTGGGTACAGGATCTAATAGGCATGTTGTTGGTTTAGATGCAGTGATAAGTTTATTTAGCTCTTCCTGTCCTATAGTTGTCCCATTTATGTTGCCAAGATTTAATAACAGCTTGCTTAATAATTGCCTTTGCTTCTGCTTTACTGATTTTTACATCAATTTCTACATTATTTTTATTCAATGATCTTTTAGCATGTTTATCTGCCATCTCGTTTCCATCTATTCCAACATGTGCTGGGACCCATAAAAATGAAACAACCCTGTCCTGAGCATGAAGTCTATATCATAAGACGGCATCTGCGAGAGAAGGGCTTAAAGAACAAAAACTGTCTTCAAAGGCCATGTCTCGTCCCACGCCACAAACTTGCCTGTTTGGAATTTGCAAGGGAGCACCAAACATGGGACATTGAAAGGTGGAAGAAAGTTTTATTCTCTGACGAGAAAAAAATTAACCTGGATGCCGGTCCTGATGGCTTCCAATGTTACTGGCATGACAAGGAGATCCCACTGGAGATGTTTTCTACGTGACACAGTGGAGGAGGCTCCATCATGATCTGAGGTGCTTTTTCCTTCAATGGGATAATGGAGCTTCAGGTTGTGCAGGGGCATCAAACGGCGGCTGGCTATGTGGACATGTTGCAGCGGGCATCCCTCTTGACTGAGGGCCCTCGTCTGTGCGGTAATGAGTCATGACTGGGTTTTTCAACAGGACAACGCAGTTCACAATGCCCGCCTGACTTCTTCCAGGATTATAACGTCACTCTTTTGGACCATCCTGCGTGTTCCCCTGATCTTTTTTTGGGTCTACCACTTGACTTTTTTTGTCCCATAACTCTCAGGATCTTTTAAGAAATTTAGAATGACTGTCTTACTGCATCCAACCTCAAAGGGCACAGAAAGCCCTTTTGCCTTTGCCATCAGGAGATCATGACAGTGTGACTGCCTGAAGGACAGTGACATGAAAGCCATATTTTTGCACAGATTTTAACTTTTTAAGGCTATGGTCTTTTACTTTTGATCAGCTGATGAACAGCCTGTTGGAGTTTAAATGCAGTTTTCAATAAATTGCCTATTCTCTATTTTTTGTCTCTTGCTCCTGTTTCTTCTTTTGGCATTTTGAAGCAGTACTTACAACCTGGTTACGATCCACCAGTGCAAAATGCAAATACTTGTAATGTTCCCCCCGGTCTTAAGATTTTGTTCAGGAGTGTATATTGTTATTGATGGTAACGTTCGTTAGATATAACCTACATGAAACGCGTGTTTTTGAATCATAATGATGAATTGGTTAAGAAACATGTTATAAAAACCTTTAAATCTTTTTGCTCAGTCTTTTTGTTTATAATTGTTGATTCTTTATAATAAGTGGGGAAAGCACATTTGACTAGAATATTTGCGGTTCATAGAGCAAAAGTTACAATAGGGCTCGAACACGGTAATGTAGGCTACTTTGTTCTCTTTAGATAGGATCATGGCTGTGGTCTAAAATGGTTCAGGATATTGAGTGTACTTATTGTACCATTAGGTGGCAGTCTTAGCTCAGCTTAAGTCTGTGGTGAAGTCACTTCCATTGTCAAACATGAATTAAAAAAAAAAAGCAACACAGCTGAATACAAAAACCCAAACATCAAAAATATATCAACATGACACTTTATTTTTTCTTCAATAAATAATTTACAGTATTTACAGGTGGTGTGTGGCACCGCTTTAGTCCTACATACAAAAACAGACTAAGCTGTCGCCAATCCTCGACCCAAACTAAGGCCCTTACTGATGCTGACTGCAGCCCAATAACCATAAGACAGCATCTGCGAGAGAAGGGCTTAAAGAACAGAAAACGTCTTCAAAGGCCACGCCTCCTCCCACGCCACAATTTTGCCCGTTTGGAATTTGCAAGGGAGCACCA